AGTGATATATCTCACTTCCCTCAGTGTCACCTTTTTAAAAACTTGAGCTGCAGGGGTAAAGGGGCAGCTCAATGACAGTTTGCTAGCCATGCTTGACCCTATGTTCAGTATACGTAAATAAGGTTTATGGTTTTGAAAGAAACCAACCAGCCAACCTGAAGATTTAACCTTGCCTTGATTTGAATAAAATCCAAGATCACAACTGCATACAACCAGTCATGCAGCTTCTTCTTCCTGTGCCTGTCACTGACGTTGGGGTGAGCAGGGCCAAGTGAGTGGAAAGGGCTGTTGGTGAGCAGTGAACGAGTGCACTGCAGATAGTGTAACAAGTTTTTATAACATTGCATGTAGATAACTTGAAAATTGACAGTTTGCATTCAGAATTGCTTAAGTGGTGACTCTGAAATGTTCGTTTTATTGAGATACTAATACCTGACCCTAGTGGCAGTATATTACTGCTTATAGATTTATTCAACACATGATCAGTAGCTTGTTACTAAATGCTGAGTATGGGGCAGGGACCATAGGGGTCCTGCCGTGAAGGAAGAGTCAGTGTTTGTTTAATAAATATTTGAGAGTCTGCCATTTGCCAGGCACCATTTAAGCACTCAGGTAAAGCAGTGTAAAGGTAAAGTCTCTCTGGCTTTCTTTTCTTCTAGCCTGAGTCACTGCTAGACTTTGAGGATTCTGGAATCACGTTGGCTGGAATTTCCTTTTAAATATTTAACCATGGATGAAATATCAGAAAATGACCCATTTATCTTATTTTTATAAAGGGAGCAGTTTGAGTCTCCAGCATCTTAAGGTGGTTAAAGTAGTTATAAGCAAATAAAAGTGGTAGATATGGTCATGTTTTAGTTAACCAGAACTCGAGTAATTAGAACCCTGTAGTGCAGTATTGCTTAACTTGATTTTAAGGAGCCTGTGGCTCACTGTGAATTGCAACAGTGCCTAGTAACCCTGGTAGAGTTTTGTTTATAAAGGTGAATCATTCATTACTGCCAGACATGACCACTGGAAGTATTTAAACAAAATGAGTTGTCAATGGCGAGAATAGGATATGAACTTTCCTAGTCTTCCATGTTACTTACATTGATATTTTCTTAGTGTTATTCAAAGCCTCTACTGAATGGTATATCTCTTCCTGCTACTATGTCTTCTGATGTTACTGAAAATAGAATTTACTTGAGAAAGTCCATTCTAGCAATGAATGGTGACCACAAAGTTCTTCACTTTTCAGAAGAATTTTTGGAATTTATTACAATGTATAACATGTGGTTTTCATATCCCAGACTGAAATAAAAAAGCAGCTCATATTCTAAAAGTAAAGCTCAATATATAAACTTGATTTTGTTTTGCAGGGGTCCACTGGGGAGAAGTTTTTTTTTTTTTTTTTTTAAGAGAGGGAAAAAAATAATACAGAATTTCAAAACAAGATGATAGGAAATTAACAATGGTTATTACATTGCATATTGCTGTCTTAAAAAATAGTTGCTCAGATTACAATATACAGGCATGCAAAATTGATCAAACAATATAAGCCCTAACTGTTCCTTTCACTGAGCTAATAGAAATTAGTAGCACAGTTACCTTAGGTATTTTGTGTGTATACACACACACACACAATTTTCCCTTTCTTCCTTTTCTCCTTTCCCCATCCCAGTTGTTCTTTCATTTTGAGCAGTTTCTTTCCCTTTCACAGTACCTTGTGTACCTTTTGAATCTTACTTACTCTTTCAGTTTCTTGCACAAATAGTACTAAAATGTTTAATTTATCCATATGGCAATATAATAAAAACCATTTCCCACCCCGTATCATACACAAAAATCAATCCTGGACATAGTAAAAATCTAAACACAGGGACATTTGAAAACTATAGTAGAAAATCATCACAACCTCAGACTGGAAAGGAAATTGTTTTTCCAAGTCTCTTAAGTACCTCATTGTGTGTAGGGCATTTTATTACTTAACTCTAGTACAGTTACCAAACATTTGTACAGTGCTGTAATCTACAGCCCCTGTTTATACTTTACTAGTTGTCACTCTAGTCACTACCTCCCACCACTTTTCTGGTCCAGAAGCCAAAGGGGAACCTCGTTGAATTTTGTTGTAATCTCTCTCTCTCTGGTCTTTAATCTGGCAGTTTCTAGTCCTTATCTTTCATGACCTTCACTCTTTTTGTTTTTTTTTTTTGTTTTTTGAGATATAGTTGAGACAGGGTCTTGATATTGTAGTTCAGGCTGGCCTTGAATTCACTAACTCAAGCTGATGTTGAACTCCTGTGGATCCTCCTGCATCAGCCTCCCAAGTGCTAGGATTACAGGTGTGCACTACCAAGCCCAACTGTTTTGTAGAGTGCTACTAGTTTTGTAGACTGCCTCCATTTTTGGTTTGTTTGTTTCCTTGTGATTAGATTCAGCCTATGAATTTTTGGCAGGAATATCACAGAAGTGATATATATGTTCTCAGTGAATCCACTCAGGAAGAATATGACATTTATTTTTCTTAATACTTTTGATAATTTGGTAAAAGTGTGGTGTGAGCGGGTTTCCTCAATATAAAATTGGTATTTATCCTTTTGTGATTATCACATGCAGAAATATCTACAAACCATGTAAATTCCCTGTTTTGTGTAGTACCTTTGCCCACTAAAGTTAGCATCTGTTGATAATTTTTGACTGCAAGAATTGCTATGGTAGTAACCCTTAATTTTCTGGTTTAGTCATTCCTTCTGCATTTGTTAGCATTCTACTGCAGTGAGCTTTCTATTGCCTGCTTTGTTCATTCATTTCTTTTATGTCACTGTGGACTCAGTAGATTCTTATTCTATGAGTTACTATCTTTTACTATCATTATTTACTTTGGTGCTTGGATTGTAGAATGCAGTTTTTTGTTGTTTTTGCTTTTAAAAAAACATAAACAGTGTACAAAATGTAAAGTTTCAGCAACACTTTAGTAATACTTTCATGTTAGCTCACATTGTTGATGGACAGAAATTTTTCAGCGCTCATGAAGCATACTAATATTTTGGATATTACTTTGCATGTGCCACTTTGCTGAGTGTTAGCTTACATGTTTGATGGACAGTAACTTTTTCAGGGCTCATATAGTGTAATATTTTGGATGGTACTTTAAATTTGCCGCATTTCTCTGTTGAGTAAATGACTTTATAATCACTCCAAGATGTGCAACAGACTGGAACATATTTTTTATATTTGTTATCTGTATTTTCCACAAAATAATGTTTTGAACCAATAGAGAGACAAGAAAAAAATAACAGTCTTCTAATTTTTACCTCAGACTAACCCTAGAAACCAATGAATTAGCTGTAGACTGCTCTGTGCTTCTTTGCAGTGCTGTTGTAAGGTATGCCATCAGCTGCCAGCTGTGTTAGCATCACCATTGGCAGCTAGCCTGTGGCAGCCAGCTGTTTGTCATTGAAAACTCTAGAAACTTTGCCATCCCTGGCCGTAGACGGGTAATGTCTCCCTTAGTTAGCCCTTGCCAACAGACCCACCAACCCTCATCCATAATTGTAATTTAGGAGTACTGTAAAAGTGGTAGTCCTTCCCTGACTTTTATTCCAGTTTGATATGAAAGGACTTTGAAGAATATCATATGGAGGAAGATGATAGTTAATGAAAAAGTTCAACACTCATGTACCTAGTAATTCCCTGGGTTCTTCAAAAAAGCTGAATTTTTAAGGGTAGATGCTATATAGCTCTGTGTGAGTTAGAGAAACTTTGAGGAAATATGTTTTCAATTACTTTCAGAAATTATTTGTAATCATTCCTGGGACTATTTCCTGGTACCTTGTAAGACCATTTTTTTTTTCTTGGATTTAGAAGTGGGCAAAAATAAATAATTTTAAAAATTCAAAATGTCTCCCAAAAATTGTTTAAAGAACCAATCCAAAAATGGGCATCTGAAATGAACACTTTTCACATGAAGTACAGTCAGCAAAGGAATAAATGGAAAAAAATGATCAGCATCAGTGCTTATTTGAAAAATACAAATTAAAACAGCACTGAGATTCCGTCTCACTCCAGAGGGAATGTCTGTCATCAAGAATCAACCAATAACAAATGTTCCTGAGACTGTGGGGGAAAAGGAACCCTTCTCCACTGTCGGTGGGAGTGTAGATTGGTGCAACCACTGTGGAGGGCAGTATGGCGATTTGACTAAAAGTAGAAGTTTCATTTGAGCCAGCTTTCTCCTACTTGGTATCTCCCTGAAAGAGTTAAATACATCTTACCACAGCAATACATGCATGTTTAGAGCAGCACAGATCGTAATAGCAAAATCTTAGAAACAGCCCATATGCCCATCAACAGATTAATGGATAAAGAAAATGTGGTTTTTATGTATTGTGGAATAGTATTCTGTCATAAAGGAGGCCAAACTGGAGGTATTGGGTATAGATCATTTTTGCTTTTGTGATGACAACTCAAAATAGAACCAACAAATTCTAAATGATCTAAGCTCAGCAGCTGTTTAATTGCATTACTACTCATGTTGTATGTATACTGTTTGTTAGCGGTACTTTAATTTTGCTTGTTTTTAGTGTATAAGTAATTAAGAATGTTTTTAAAAATACCTCAAATTTCTAAACGTTTACAAAAGGAATATTTTACTGTCTTTATTAACATGTTTCACAATCTTTTTTTTTTTTTTTTTTTTTTTTGTGGTACCAGGGATCGAACTCATGACCTTGCGCTTGCTGGCAGGCGCTTATGCCACTGAGCTATTTCCCCAGCCCTCACACAGTCTTTTTGTACAGTTTTTATGTGTCATCTAGTAAAAATCTGAAAAGTAAAAACCCTGCATTCAGCAAGAGCTTTCCTTCAGACTTTGAATTTGGGTCTTTCTCAGCAAACCATGTACGTGTGGTACTCTTTTGGCGCTGGGCATTGAACACCCGGTGCCTTCACACCCGTTTTTAGATTGTGTTTTTATACTGCATATCACTAAGTAGCTGAGTTGCTCAGACTGGGCTCTAATGTACGACCCTCCTGTCTTAGCTGCCCGTAGTACTGGGATTTTAGGCGTGTGCCACCATGTCCAGCATGTGGTAGGTATAATGCTCTTGAAATGCTGCACGGTACCTGCGAGCTGTAGTTCTTTGCCACCCATGGGATTAGGAGTTTAGATATTCCCTGTATCACAGTTTACTGTGTTTCTAAGCTATGGTATTTAGTGAGTTAGGATATTAGGTTCATTTTGAAAAAAAAAGATCCTATTCCATTTAACCTTTTGAGACAGGTTTATTTGTTCAGATTCACTTGAGTTGTTGCATATATTAATACTTTTTATTGCTAAAGAAGTACTTTGAGAAATTGTTTTTGTGTGAACATGTGTTTGTATTACTTTAAGAAGATAGGTAGGAATGGGACTATTACAGTGCATGCTTAGTTTTATAAAAATAGTCAAACTGTTTTCTATACTATGTACAGTCTTGCATTTCCAATATAATATATGGGTTCCAGTTGTTTTGCATCTTCCTCTGCAGTTGATGTTGTCCATCTTTATATTTTACTCCTGTGCTGTGCGCAGTAGCATTCCATGTGTTCATTATTTATCTCCCTGGTGATTAATGATACTGAGCATTTTTGGGGTACTTATCTGTCCTATGTATATCCCCTTTGGTGGTGGACTTACTGAGCTCTTCTTGATCACTACTCTTTTTAAGTAGTTGTCTTAAGAGTACTGTATATATTTTGGATGTAAATCTTTTATTGGATGTGTAACTTGTCGATACAGTTTGAGTATCCTTTATCTGAAATGCTTGGCAACAAATGTGTTTCGGATTTTGGAATGTTTGTATAAGTTTTACTGGTTAAAAATCCCCAGTGTGAAATACGAAAATCCAAAAACCTTTTGATCATCATGCCACCACTCAGAAAGTTTCAAATTCTTGCCAGGTGTCACGGCATACTCCTGTTACATCAGTACCCTGGGAGGCGAGGGCAGAAGAATTTCAAGTCCAGTGGGGCATCTCAGTGACTTAGCAAGACCCTGTCTCAAAATAAAAAATGGAGCCCTGAAGATAATAGCTTAGTGCAAGGCAAAGTTTCAAATTCTGCAGGATTTCAGATTTTTGAATTAGGGATGCTGTTCTATCTGTGCCACTTTGCAGCTTGTCTTTTCATTCTGTTAACAGCAAAAGTTTTTAATTGTTATAAAGTTCACCTTGTCAATTTTTAAATAATGGATTACAGTTTTGGTGTCATGTCTACGAACTTTTTTGGCTAACCTTGGATCATTAAAATGTTCTTTCCTTTTATGTATTTGATTTTAGTTCTATGTAGAGCTACAATCTGCTTTGAATTAATTCTTATGTAAACTGTGAAGTCTTGGTTGAGATTCTTCTTTTCCTCTTCACAAATATTTAATTGTTTTAGTATATTATTTGTTGAAAATAAGTCCTTTTTCCAGTAAATTGTCTTTGTACTTTGGTTAACAATCACTTGACTGTGTATATATTGTTTTTTTTTTAATTTTTAATTTTTAATTTTTTTTTTTTTGGTTTTTCTCCGGTATCAGGAACCGAACTCACGACCTTGCGCTTGCCAGGCAGGCGCTTTGCCGCTGAGCTAAATCCCCAGCCCTTGACTGTGTATATGTGCGTGTATTTCTGGACTTTCAGTTCTCTTCCACTAATTGTCTCTCTGCTCATTAAACCTACGTTGTCTTGATGACTGTGGCTGTACGTAACAGGGTTGCAGTTGGTAGTTCTCAAGTATATTCTTGCTCAAAATTGGTTCTGTCGTTCTAGTGTCTTTGCCATTATTGCTTCACGGTGCTTTTGTGTACAGCTTCTTCACTAAACTGTTACGCTGGGCTTATTGTTTAACCTCTCAGATACATTTTCATTAACTAGTAATCATATAGTCAGGATACCATTTATTGTCTCAAAATAGGCAATTCACAGCACTTGTTGATGTTGTCCTTCTCACTTACCATTACACTGAAATTTCCTAAGGGCTGCTCATGCCTCATATTAACCCTTTTGTACTTTGTAGACCCCTCTTTCTTTAATTCCTTCCTTCCTTCCTTCCTTCCTTCCTTCTTTTCTTTTCTTTTCTTTTCTTTTCTTTTCTTTTTTTTCTTTCTTTCTTTCTTTCTGTAGTTTCATTGATTTGTGACATTGTAAGTGCAATAAATTTTTTTAATGTATGTAAATACATCCTCACACATAAATTTTCTTGACTTTTTTTCACTAGTGTAAAAGAAATAAAATTGATTATAAGAAAATGTTTATCTGTTCCAGCCTAGAATCATTGTGTATTAAAGTATATATTTTATGTAGACTCAGCTTGTATGTTATAATATTAAGTGATTAAAACTGTTTTTGACTGAAGAAGTGTAACTGTCTTTAATACTTCAAGTCATTTTCCTTGAAATTGTATAGTTTTGCATGTTTTTAATTATCCTAGCAGATACATACTGTGGAATATTTATACCTCCATTTCTATTTTAGGTACGTATAGCAGCAAAATTCATCATTCATGCCCCTCCTGGAGAGTTTAATGAGGTTTTTAATGGTAAGTATTTAATTTGTAAAACTAAGTCTTGATATATCAACATTCTTTTTAAAAGAAAACCCTACCTACCAAAATAAGCTGAGAAGAATGTGGAGAAAAATCTGTATTTTCTGAATTACCATCAAAATTTTTGTCAATCTGGATTTTGTAATGGCTAGCTGTATTTAGGATACATATGACAATTCTAATAAATTAACGTATTTAAAAAAATCTTTTGTTTTTTGTTTTTTTGCTAAATTATTTTAAGTAAAATAAAAAGCAAATAGGTATTTCTTCAGTAGAACAGTTAAATAATTATAAACAATTACGTTTTATGATTGTAAAGTACATTTTTAAGCCTTCTTTTAAAGAACGGCCTACTAGGTCAATAGAATGGCCAATATAAAGGGGAAAATATGTTCACGCATAGAAAATGATAAAATGTAAAAACCATTTGTTATTTAAATTACATCTTGTAAATCATTTTGCAGTATGCTTTTCTTTAGGCTTCATTGGCAAGCATTTTATAATTATTCACCCATAGACCAGAACCTGCTACTGCTATAGAATGTCCTACTTGCTATAAAGATTGACAGTATCTATGTCTTACCAGTAAGGATAACAGATTTGAGAGAATCGCCTAGAAAGTGGCCCAAAATACTCTCTTCAGAGAAGTTAGAAGGACTTATAAATGTATTGTTATTTCTCGTGTGTATATATATTTGCCTTTACAATGTCTTAAGTTAAAAGGTCTGTTCATACAGTGTAATTGATTGTTTTTAAACATCCTACTCAGTACACTATTTAAATATGTTTTTAAAGTTAGTCACTCATTTTTGTTTATAGTATAAATGTAATGTAATACCACTTAAGATGTAGTTGGAAAGCAAAAAAAATGAGGTAAAAATTAAACTGCTAAAATTAATCTTGAAAATTCTTTAAATCAAACTGTAACAAAGTATAACATGACAGTGCATACAGTTACATTTCACATTTCTTACATTATGTTAAAATTTAACCACTGAGCACACACATAGAGGAAGAATGAAAATCTAAACTGTAAAAAAAATGTGGAAATTAAAATACTTCTGCTGTTAAGAGAACTGTAAAATCTCAGGTGGTAAATAGAAGAGTTGGAGACAATTACAAAGTATTTTGCTTCTTGTGCTTTTAGCTTGTGCTTTAATATTTTCTATGACCTATACCTAAATTAATACAGTTGGTGGTTGGGGGATTAAAAAATATAATCTCAGGTTATGTCAAACTTGGCGTGTAATTTGATATGGTAAAACGACTAAGGTCAGTAGCTCCCAGGCACCTTGAACAGTTCGTAGAAATAAAAATAAATCAGAGCCGGGTGTGTGGTGCATCCCTGTAATCCTAGCACTCTGGGAGGCTGTGACAGGAGGATGGGAGGTTGGAACTCAGCCTAAGCAACTTAGCAAGACTGTGTCCTAAAAAATTTTAAGAGTTGGGAATATAGCTCAGTGTGAAAACCCTGGGTCCAGTTTCCAGTACTGCGAAAAAAAAAAAAAAGTAATTCTAAGAAAAGCTACCTATATAAGGTTGTTACCTTGGTATACCTGACCTTCATATTTTAAAAATTAATCAGCAAGGTCCAAAAAGAATGTGTGAGTACCGAAAATTGTTTGTTTCTAAGTTGCATGTGAAATTGACATTGAATTGGTATGTTCTCTGTTGAAGCGCATTAAATTTGGGCACTTAAAATGAGCCATTAAATTGGCCTGGGTTAGAAAGAACGGTGGAGTGGGAGTGGGATATTGGATTTATCTAATAACTTTCAGAAGGTATTTTAGAGTTAAAAGGAATATTGTATTTGAAAGGGAAATCTCTTACGAATTTATTTTTGTGACTTTTTGTTGAAAATCTTGGTGTCAGAACGATTCCATGAGAATCAAAAAAATTCAAAAATCGTAATCATAAAATCTTACCAGTTCATTGTTTCCTAACTGCTATTTCATAGGCTTCTTGTAGTAGAACCACTGAAACATGGGTGTTTGGTCTTCATTCGCAAAAACTAATGGATAGCAGTAGGCCTAGGCTCGGGTTCTGACTTCCTGTTCTTTTAAAGCCTCCTGCCCAGCACTGGTGGGTTCTGAAGGGCAGCCTGGTTTGGCGCCACAGCCCAGTTCCCTCTCTAAGAGCAACGTTTGCTTTTACTCAAATTCTAAGATTTTCTGTTTTCTTCCACTCTCCTTATGACAGAAGCATGTTATTTCTTTTCAGTAGAGTTTTCCTGGCTCAAATAGATCTTACTTTTAAATTATTTCCATTTGGAATTGAAAAGGATAATTACTACATGATACAATTATTATATTTAAAATATTGAAGATAAAAGAATCATTTATCAAAAAGAATTTCTCAATTTGTTTTTTGGGGGGATAAAAATAACCATAATTGTAAATGTCTGTTATTTAAATAATTTAGGCAGAAATGTCCATATTTTAAAATAATTTAATTTAGAAATTCAGTACTATTAGTAATTAGCAAAGAGATTTTTGGTGTTTTTTTGTTTTTTTGGGTTTTTTTGAGACAGGGTCTCACTGTATAGTTTAGGCTGGCCTTGAACTCACTATGTAGCCCTGGCTGGCCTCATACTACAGGTGATCCTCCTGTCTCAGCCTCCCTAGTGCTGGGATTACAGGTGTGTACCACCATGCCCAGTTTGAGTTGTTTTTTAAACCAGAGCCTATTGGTGAAAAGTATGTGAATACACAATATTTTTTCTTTAGAAATGGCTTATTTTTGTAAACATGATTTATAGTCATTTGAAAAATTTCTAGAATGCCAAAAACTACTTAAAAATCGCAAAATTCAGGCCAAGCATAATGGCACATACTTGTAATCTCAGCTGATCAGAAGACTGAGGCAGAACCTCAAGTTCAAGGCCATCTTAGATAACTTAGCAAGACTGTCTGAAAATAAAATTTTAAAAGGGCTGGGGATATAACTCAGTGATAGAGTGTTTGCCTGGCATACACAGATCTCTAGGATCAGTATACATCACCACCACCAAAAGAAAAAGACATACACACACACACACACACACACACACACACATACACGCACAAACATGCTTACACTGCCTCTTAGTTTTCCATCTGAACTACCACATCTCTCAACATACATAACAATATATAAATATGCTAATACTGTACCTATTGAATTTCCCCTTCCTATTTATTTTATTATGAGTGTATTTCCATGTTTATAGATAGGTATCTACATTTTTAAAAAAATTGTTTTTGGTACCTGGAATCCAACTCAGGATCTTGCACTTGCCAGGCAGGTGCCTTGGTATCTGCATTTTTAATGGCTGTTGGAGTATAAGAATGTCTCACTGTGTATAAAGACAATAGTCTGTTTAAATATTTAACCAGTTTCTTAGTGGAAAATGTTTTGGTTATTTGTGTTTTCCTCTAGTAAGAAAGTGGTATATTGTTTTTTGTGTACCATATGATAGCAACTATATAAAACAGCCAAGAGCTTAAGAAAAATAGTGAAAGAAAATGCATCAAGACCAGAATAGAATTTTATTTACTGGTTGTGTTAGTTACTTTCCCTGTTGAGACAAAATACCTGAGGCCCGAAAGTAAAGGGGAAAAGGTTCGTGTGGCTTACAGGTTATGGAAGGTCCACGCTGCAGTGGGCTGGCTGTGGGGCAGGGTGGCACACGCGAGGGGCACCGGTGCGTGGGGGTCGGAGGCAGCAGAAGCAAGGAGGGACCTTAGTAATGTCTCTGCCCTGTTTATCTTACTGAGGTCACTCAGGGCAGTAGGATTCACACCTTAACCCTAGTGCCCTTGAACCCAGCACTGCACCATGACTCAGTCCCAGTGTCACACACTCCAGATCCAGCCACCTTTGAAAAAGCCACTCGGTACCACATGTGGCTTCGGGGGGATATTGAAACACAAGCCATAGCACTGATGAAAGTACATACAGTTTTTTTCTTCTGTGTTTTTTAAAGTTACTGGATTTTCCAATAAAAATTACTGTTTTTGAGTGTATTTTTAATGATTAGTAGTCAAATGTCTATGTAAGAATACAGTCTAAAATTAGGGCATTATTATCTATGGTCATATCACCTTGAAAACGTCCAGCCTCCTCTCTAAAATTAGGACAGGGGCTGGGGATTTAGCTCAGCGGCAAAAGCGCCTGCCTGGCAAGCGCAAGGTCGTGAGTTCGGTTCCCGGTACCAGAGAAAAACAACAACAACAAAAACAAACAAACAAACAAAAACTTTGGGCTGGGGATTTAGCTCAGCGGCAAAAGCGCCTGCCTGGCAAGCGCAAGGTCGTGAGTTCGGTTCCCAGTACCGGAGAAAAACCACACACCAAAAAAAAAAAAAAAAATTAGGACAGATTAAGAATCAACCAAAGCAAGATTATTAAGTCAAAGAAAGTAAAATTAGTTATCTGTTCTTTGAATATGACCTATCAAAGGACAGAAATGCCTATGTATATAGACTGATCACAAACTGTCACTGTTTAATCACTTTTTCTGTAGACCAAATTTAAAACTGATGATTATATTGCCAAACTAAGAGGGCTTCAGTCTTTTCTGCAGATCTTATTATACCATGTTTCTGATACAGCTTATCTCTACCTTAGTTATTTGGAGATACAGTGCAGTCTGCCTGCATCTGCTATTAAGAATACAAAATTATGTGTATTTCTGTTTAATTCCCTTGTCTGTGTTCTAACCAAAATCTTTTATTTCTTTAAAATACTGTGCTCTACATTTCTGGATATTTTGATCATTAGAATGACATTTTGATCTTGCTTGCATTTGGGGTCGGGGGGGAGTTAAATACATAACTAAAATAACCTGTATTCTATACGTTCTTCAAACATAAATAACATAGAAAACAATATTTGTTTTGCAGATGTTCGGTTACTGCTAAATAATGATAATCTCCTCAGGGAGGGAGCAGCCCAGTAAGTATTTAAAATTAACAATTAAAATGACTTAGGAAAAGATGTTTTAGAAGTGGTATTTAAGCACAAATTCCTGGTACAGAGATTTGAACATCAAATTATCTGTAACATATATAATTATTTATATATATATGCTATGTTTGAAGAGAATTGCTTATGTGTGTACACGTATGTGCACGCCCATGGGCATTGAACCCAGGGCCTTGTGCATGCTGAGTACTCTGGAGCTGAGCTACATCCCCAGCCTTGAAGGGAAAGATTTCTGGTCACAAAGGAACTCGTAGGCACAATAGCAGGAAATAGTCATTTTATTTTTGACAATTTAGTGTCTTAAATACTCAGTAAATACTACATTTTGACATTTGGATAAAATTATTTTTTAAATGGAGATGGTTTTAATTTTTATGTAGAGTTTCCTTTTTACTATGTTTGACCCTAATGGGTTTTTAAGCTCTTTAAGGTATGGCAGTTTACTTTATTCATCCATAAATGCTCAACATAGTACCTAACAGTAAATGTTTACCAAATTTTTGAGCAGTTCAAAAAACTAAGCAGTTATAACCCTGATACATTACCTTCGGACCAATGACCACAACCATGGGTCTCACAACCAGCATAGATTTCAGAGAAATAATTGATCCTCCCCTACCTCCCAAAATAGTCTGGAAACTCATGTTTTAAGCTCCCCAACCCCATTCCTCATTTGCAAATAATGAAATGGTATATAGATTTTAAGTACCTTGGAATTTTTTTAATTCATCCAGTCAGCCACTTTTCTTCCTAGCATACTACTCAACATGTGGAATCCTTATTAATGGAGGGCATTCGTTCTAACTGCCTTACAGCTGAAGGCTTTGTTTTATAAGTTTGGCCTTCATGGTTAACCCTACTTACAGGACACCTGCTTTTGCTTCTGATTAAAATGTTACTTTTATAAGCAGTTTTTATTGTGGAAAGTGCACATAACAAAATTTACCATTTGACCAGTAAGCAGGCAGTTGGCTCAACATACGTTTTTCTTGTGTGACAGTAGCATCATCCATTTCCAGAAGGTTTTTTTTTTTTGTTTCTTTTCATTTTCCCAAACTGACGCTTAATAACTCCCCATTTCCTACCTGTAGCAACCATACCAGTCTACTTTTTATAAATTTAACCACTTTAGACACGTAAGTATAAGTGGAATAGTATGATATTTGACCTTTTGTGACTGGTTCAAAGTGCTTTATAGAAATTGGTTTGGTTTATACTTTGGTTTGAGTTATCAGCTTCTAAATAAATTGGCCACATACTCTAAATTTTTTAAGCACTGTTGAAATTTTTTCTGCTCTAGGGAGATCAGTTTTCTTCATAATAGCAGTTCTGTGTTGATGAAATTGCTTTATGGATTCAAAGAAGGCATTTAACAGTGCTTCGAAGGTATATTTCCTTTGGGTTCTATGTTAAATAAGCGAGTGGGTTTCATGTAGATGTAATAATTAGTGGGTTTTTTTTCAGTTTAGAAACAATTTTGATTGAGTTTTTCAGAATAAAGATTAGTGAAAGTGAGAGAAGCATCCATAATTATGTAAGTAGTCACATATCTGAGTCAGGGTGAATGAAAGTATTTGAGTTTTCCTGCTCATCCTGATTGACAGTTGTTGTGAGCTAGGTTTCTTTTATTGTAAACCAGTTTCTTGGACAACTATGCTATATACTTCAAGAGGTAGGCACATTGAAGTAGAAAACATGATACTTTGGTCTCTTGAAGGAAATGAGAACTTTCAGAAATAAGAAACTATGGTAGAACAAGGTCGTGCTTACAATATATGACCCCAAGTAAAGCAGAACATCAAAAGCTTTAATGTGCACTTCAGATTTTCTTAAATGTGTTTGTGCTTACACAGTCATGCTGCCTAGATGAATTAGTAGAGAAAACAGTTACTGATTTCATATTTTTTGTACCCAATATCTCAAAACTAATTATTGAGATCATTTTGTAGAATGCTAAAGGTGTCTATAAACTTCATAAATACACTCTAAACTAGGAAATGAATTTATAATGATATTATTCTGGTTCAGAGTGTCCTCTCTGTGAAACAGTTTTGGAACAAAAATAGTGTTACCCAGTTTTTTCCCTTACTTAATTCTAAATTACCTTTGAAATACCCTTCATGCTTTCTCCTCACCGGGACAAAACACCCCGCACTGATGAAAGCAGAAGACCTTCACCGTGGCTCACGGCGTTCAGGGGACTCAGTCCACAGTCAGCTGGCTCGGAGGCAGAAGGGCACGGTGGAAGTATCTGGCAGAGGAGAGCTGTTTGCGTCCTGGCGGCCAGGAACCAGAGAGTAAAGGGAGGAGCCGGGGATGGAAGTACACACTTCAGGGTCACACCCCCCGTGATCTACCTCTTCTGATCAGCCCCCATCTCCTAGTAGCACCTTTAACTATGGGTGTAGTTCCTTTGTTACCCAGTCAACTTTGGAAATTCCCACCTCTGAAAACTTGAGACTTTTAAGGGATATTCTAGGTTCAAACCGTAACATTCCATCCTAGGCCTGAAGAAAACTTGTGTGTATATCTTCATGCAGAATGCATTTAGTCTATCTCTGAGTGTTGCCACAGTTGTAATAGTTCTGGCACTGCTGAAATTTTCAAGTCAGGAGTCTTCTGTGGTCCTCAAGGCAAACTTAGCTGTGAGCCCCTATAGAAATCAGAAAGTTAAACACTTCTAACGTACGATGGCAGATGGTAAAGTCCCGTTTCAAAAGGGAGAAATACAGGGATAGGAAGGAGTCAGACTAAAGCAGGACCAAACCCCCGCAGAGTACGTAGTAAGTCTTGCAGGTTCCTGTCCAGCACCAGGTGCACGTTGTGAGATGTGGACCCCACAGGGCTGGGGAAGCCCCCCTCCAGTCCACTACTGGTGCAGCCGTTGTGGTCCCTCCCTTGGGATGGCTGCACTTACGGCCTTGGCTCTCTTCAGCAGACAGTGCACCTGCCTGGCTTGTCCAGCTTCCTGGGGTCTCCAGTGCCCTTCTGGATTAACTTTCACAGTTTCCTGCGCTGCCCTCTCAGGCCTTCTGCAATCTGGGTGGAAGCCTGCGTAGCCCCACAGCTCTTACATTTGCACGCCCATACCCAGCAGTCGTGGGTGACTCAGTGATCTCCCTTGACCAACAGCTGGGCCTCCTTTGCGTGGCTGTAGAGGTTTCTTAGGTGCCTGGATTCTGAGCACTGTAGATCTCCAGGAGCCAGTCCCATAGGCTGCCCTTCTGAGCAGGGTGCCCTGGGGGTGCTTGGCTCTTGAGGTTGTGAGGGCAAGGTCTTGCTGATTCCTCAGATCGCCTCGAGGCTTCTTCCTTCGTCCTGATACAAAGTGCTTGGCTTATTTTCAGTGTGAACCTTTTTAATGACCATGCCCTCCTTTGCCAAACTTTGTATGAGTATCCTTTCTGGGGATACCTGTAGACTCTTCAAATGGGTATTTTGGCTCCTGATTTTCACTGTAAGTCTGGCCAAAAGTAGCCAGAAGCACTCTGGCTGCAGCCGGAAGATTCGGCTGCCTTGAAATTTCCTCCACTAGATTAGTCTGCCACCCTTAATGTCAGTCTCCCACAATATCTCAGCACATGGGCAAAATGCAGACAAATTTTTACCAGAATGTAGCACATGTGGCCTCTAGTGCAGCAGTCAGTGGAGTCCTTGTTTCTGACTGAAACCTTCTGAGCCTGGCCTTCACTCTACACATTTCTATTAGCATTCTGGTTTTCAGAGCTTTGATAGAATTTCCCATCAGACTTGCCTTAAAGCGCTCTCGGGCTTAGCTAGCATCTCCAGATTTTTCAAATCTTCCTGCAAACTAGTTCCAAAGGCTTCTGAACCACATGGTCAGGGATGGACTTGCCTTCTGTCCACATTTGGGATCAGTATTTATGTTGCCACTTTCTTTTCACGGGGCCACAAACCTGACTTCCACAGTTTGAAAGGAGTGATTGCTTTTGGCCCACAGTTTTTAGAAGGTTCAGCCCATCGTCTGCCAGCTCCAAGGGGTGCCTGGAGCAGGAGTCTGCTCACACTGTAGTGGTCAGCAGGCAGCAAAGAGAACAGCCAGGGAGGCAAGCACGCCCTTCGAGGTCGTGCCCCGTGCTCCACCTCCTCCAGTTAGGCCTTGCCCTCTGGGAACACATGTGGGTGTGACGTCATCATGAGTGAGTCCTCTCATGAGTGTAGAGCCCCTGGGACCCAGTCACCATCCAGGCCCCTTACCTGTGAGTGCGTGAGACCCTGGGGGACATTCTAGATCCAGACCATGAAGTTCCTGTCACTGCGCCTGTCCAGAATTCAGCACATAAGCTTAAAAGGCATCACAGGAACATTCAGAATGTGTCCTGGTACAGTTTTGCTGGAAAAAGCCTATAGCCATAGACTGATGTTTTCTTATTCAAAAATTGCTTTTTTTTTAGTGTTGAATTTCTTTTATATCTCTTTCACATACACATACTTTCCTTCCTTCCACCTTTGCCCTGTTGCTTCATCTTTCATCTTTTTCCTTTTCTTCCCTTGGTGAAGGGAAGCAACAGGGCTGTTGTGGTTCTAACCGGACATCTTTACCTAAGAAGTACACAAACAGTATGTTTCACAGTAAAATTAGACTCACTGAAGAGTTGTTACTGTCAAGTCTAGAACACTTCGAAATAGTCATAAATAGCCTTTTTTATTCAGTGGACAAAAGAAGGCCATACTTAACTGATGAGCAAATAAGCCTCCTAGTGATTGTCCAGTGGGTAGCCAAACGTGTATGAAATAAACTTTAGTTATAGAAGCGTATCAGAGGCCTGTGGACACTGAAGGAAGAAAATTTTGATGTTCTGTGTAGAGGTAGTTTTGGATACCGTTCTTAAATGATGACCAGGGTTTCAGTATTACATAAGGAAAAGGATGTGGCTAAACTGAGGAGAAAGCATGCAGAAAAGTGTTAGATATGACGTGATGAATGGATAATAGCAGAGTGTACAAATCTACAGTAACAGATCACTTAGAAACGGGTGATGGGGCTGCAGAGCTCTACAGGGGCAGGGAGACCATTGTTTCCAGGTCCAGTGGGCTGTTTAGCATGCAGTAGTAAGACCTCAGTAAGTATCTGTGTGGATGGAGGGGTGGATGAGTGAATGATGAGTGCATGCATGGAGTTTTCTGAGCAGAAGGAGCTTAGTTTACAAGCATGCTTTTGAAATAAATCACTTAAGGTGAGTAGCTGCTTGATTACACTGAGGCTGTTCTTAGGAAAATTACAATTTTAGTGAATTAAAACATGAATAGCTATTGCTTTCTCCCTCCCACTCCCTGTGCTGCTATATTTACCCTCATCTTTCTTGAACATGCAGTGTCAGGAATTTGACAGATGGTAATTTAATCCGGCTTTGCCATATTTCTGTCACTTATCCATAATGTTTTGCTCAACAAAACACTCCTTTCGGGGGAGACTTGGAAGCGAATACAGTAAGTCGCTGACCTACAAATGCGTTCCATGCCACGAGCATGCTCAAAAGTCTGACTCATTTGTGTCTGACAGAGTGAGTCTTACACGTTACAGTACACCCACGAGAGTTCACAACTCCAGTGTTTGTAAGTCAGGGACTGAATGTACCCAAAAAATCAGTGGACATCTGACCATCCGCAGGAGTCTGCAAAGCTTCAAAGTAGATTAAGTTTGGAGACAAATTATTATTAAGTTTTACAATTCTCCATCTTTTCTAGTAAGTGGAAGTAATTTCTTAACTTACAGGTTTAATAGAGTACCATACAGTATGTTATGTAATTTTTAGATAATTTGTCATGCTGTGAGAATTTTTCCTAGACGGGAATTGCCTAATTATCTGGTGACGTATTTACTCCTGTGGAAGGGAGAAGGCTTTGCTCTTCAGCCAGTCCCGTTGTTTCCCGGCTTAGACTGTACTTCTAACATGGACAGTAGCAGTAGCCTAACTGCCTTTTCTGGCTGTTGGTATGCTGCCTAGTTTGCCATACGTACTACCGCCACATTGATCTTTAGAAGTACTTCTTCGACTTTGTTTCTCAAAAAGTTTCTTTGACTCCATCATTCAAGTCTTATCTTTTCTATTCAATGGCTGTCACTGACTGAACACATGCTATGTGCCGGGCTTGTTGAAGTTGTCGCTTTCTGGTCCCACTGGTTGAAATACTCTTTGCTTTTTTTGTTTTTGTTTTTCTTCCGGTATCAGGAATCGAACTCACGACCTTGCGCTTGCCAGGCAGGCACTTTGCTGCTGAGCTAAATCCCCAGCCCCGAAATACTCCTTTCTTGCCCATCATTCTAATTTCTACAAGACCAGAACTGATTCAGCTTTTAAGCACATTTCTCATGATCACATACATCATGAATTAGGCCCAGTGCTCTTCTCCTTTGTCTTTCCTTAACAGAATTAAAGTATATTTTTTCATTACAGTTCATTATTAGTAATTCTCTTACGGTACTTTCTACCTTGTGTTATGGTTATATTGATCCATTGTCTCTTCTTCTTCTATTGTAAGTCTTTTGATCATAGATGTCTCTGATTATTATAGTATGTAGTCTGTTTCCTGGTTTATTAAATATATATAGTACTTGAATAATTGGATATATATCAGTAATCTTTATGTTCAGGGTTTTGAGTGAAATGACCACTTATATGTACTAATTTAATTTTATGTTGCTAAATGTTGAAGGCTAGATATCATTAATTAATTTTTGAAATGTCCTTACCTAAGCTAGACATGGTAGTACACTCCCAGCACTCTAGGAGGCTGAGGCAGGGTGATGGCAAGTTCGATCTCAGCTTGGGCAATTGAGCAAGATCCTCTCTCAAAATAAAAAGTGCTTGGGATGTAATTTAGTGTGAATGCTGTGGGTTCAATCCCCAGAACAGCAAAAAAAAAAAAAAAAAAATCTATAAATGTGATAAACAGCTATACCTGTGTTGTATTATAAATAGTATAAGATCGTAACTGGATATGGTCATGCACTTCTGTAGTCCTAGCACTCAGCAGACTGAGGCAGGAGCTCTGTGTGTTTGAGGCCAGCCTGTACCAGGCAGTGAGTTCCAGGCCAGCCTGCACTACATAGTGAGACCTGTCTCAAAGAAAAAAAAAAGATCACTGTTAAGAGAATATTTTGGCCATGGGCAATATAGGAGGAGACTTTTAGTAAGAGATAAATTGTGATTATTTTCAAAAATTAGCAGTTTTAAGTAATGGTCTTTTTCTTTTTTAGTGCATTTGCACAGTATAACTTGGATCAGTTTACTCCAGTAAAAATTGAAGGTTATGAAGATCAGGTATGTTTCATATAAACATAGAGTCTGACTATTCTTTGTTTCTGATAATAAATTATGCAAGAACTGTGAAGTGCTGTACTTAAAGATTTAAAAATTGCTCTTTTTAACCATACCCACTTACTGGCAAAGTAATAGAAAACGTGTTGTTGAGATTATTAATACTGTTAGCAGAAGGTCCCTTTTAGACAGACATATGCATGTAATTTTTTAAAGATTTTAGAAAATAATGGCTTTAGATCTACGTTTTTACTTTTTATAGGAAAAAAAAATGAATCCTATATTAACCCATAATCTAGAATGTGTATTTGTAAGATTTTGTATCATAACTTGGTTGCTCGGGAATTCTATAGTTTTTCATGTAATTTAGCAGTTAGTAATTACTAAATCTTTTCTTTCCAAAATCAATTAAAGTTGGTAAGCTTAGAAAATCCACAACAAAAAAAAAAAAGAAAAAAAAAAAAGAAAATCCACAACAGGTCACTAGCTTTTTTAGTTTAGAGTTACTAATAATTGAATGGTGATTGTAGGAATTCATATTATGCTTACGTGAAGTACAATTCGTATAAAACTATATGAGAAGCGAACTGGTAGGGAGAGTATAAGAGAAGATGGTTAAGAGGAATATGAGGGACAACTCTTAAGTGGCTAATGACACCAGAGCTTGTGTTTGGGATTGTGCGTTGTACAATGTGTGGTCCCGTAGTTACAGGGGAAAAGGAACTAAAGGTGACTTCCAATGGAAAGGGAAACTGCATGTTACATGTAGATACGCATGTGTGTGTATACATGAAAAACTAGTGTTTCATTGTGTTCATCTTCTAAATTCATTTTATTTCTCTGGAGTTTTTTTTAATTTTTGAAAGTTTTTTGCTTTTTTGGGTTTTAGGGGTTTTTTTGGGGGGGTTACTAGTATGAACAGTGGTATATTGAATTTCTTTGTACTTCTGATCACATGACAGTGTTTTCTTGGGACAGATCCCTAAAAGAAAATTTGCTGGGTAAGAGAATGTATCTTTTTAAAATGTTGGATAGCTTCTAAAATCACTTTACAAACCTAGCATAATTTTAATTCTTAAACCTAAAAAGATAAAACCAAATAGGTAAATAGTGTGCTGATTTCACATATGAATCTTGATTTTTAAAACTGTAGGATATTAACAAATGGGATCCAAAAATATAGCAAAAGAATAATATACCAAGACTGGGCAGCAGTTTTTATAGGAACACAAGAGTTTCCATGTAAAGGCAGTGTATTGGTCGTGCATATTAACAAATCAGAGAGAAAAACCAATGTCAGTAAATAGTGAAAGGGATTTTTAAAAGCCCAGCAACCATTTCTTATGGAAAACAAAAACTCTTAAGTAAAAGTACAGACAAAAATCTAAATACAGTGTTTAACAAAAGCCAATACTAAATGTCATCAATTGCAACTGTAAAACAGTTTTAGTTAAAATGCAAAAATTAGTTATGCCTGCTTACTTTGTTATTAATCATAAATGAGGTTGTAGCAAAAAAAAAGACAAGAATGAGACGAAACTTAATGCTTAGACTGTAAGTCTCTTTGCTGATACAATTTATATAGTTAGTAATACTGAGAAACTGTATTAGTTTAGCTCCCAACTAAAAAGCTGCTAGACTTAAAAGAATTTGGTGAGCGCTGGGGAGTTAACTTAGCAACACAGCGCCTGCCTGGCAAGCACAAGGTGCTGAGTTTGATACCTGGTATCAAAAAAAAAAAAAAAGAATTTGTTGAGATGGCTTCATTTAAGGTAAGTACTATATATAACACTAATTAGCTGTCCTCTGCTGCAGCAAGTAAGTACCTAAAAATAGAAATAAGAGGGGTCAGGGTCTAGCAGGGAATTTCATTTAAAGTAATGGTAAAAATTATACATTAATTTAGGAACATATTTATCAAGAAATAGGATCATGAAGAAAACTGGTTAACTTCATTAAACATGTAAAACAAGATCAGAATAATGGAGAGGTACATTGCATCCCATTCTTAGAAGCATAGATTATTTTAAAATTAATAAATAAATGTGTTAAAACTTGAATTTAAACCCTGATCAGTTTTTTCAGTTGGTCAATATTGAGAGAAAGCTTAATGTGAAAGTAACACATGTTGAAATAACCAGGAAAATTCTAAAAAGAACAGTACAGGAGAATGGCCGTACTGCACAGGCGCAGATACTTTTATCACCAGTGGGAAGTCAGATCAGTGTGGTGTTCAGAGTAGGTAAGTCGGCAGAGCAACATGAAGAACTGGGGTTTAGTTCTGAAATATGTGGAAAGTTTTATACACACATTGGTGTAACTGATCTCCATCGAGAAGAAAGTTAGTTTGGACCTCTGCTTCACACTGTATACAGAAATGTGATGGATTAAAAGTATGTACAGACAGAAATTACAAAAAAACCTAAGTGTCTACGTGTAAGGGCAGGAAGACCATGGATAGACATTTTGCTATGTATTAAACTGCAGACTGGAACCTTAAACCAAGAACTTTTATAAAGAAATTGTAAAAAGTCCACCTCAAATAAATATGGTAGAATATTTACTCACAGAAGAACAAATGACCCATAAACCTGAAAAGATACTTACATCTGTTAGAAATGAGAGAAATGTACAGTAATTAAAATTACATCCATCAGACTAAAAAGGGAGTTAGAGTGCCTGTTGATGTTAGTGGTGTGGAGAGAAACATACTCGTGTTGTCTGTAGAGTGCAGACTGTCACAGCCAGTTTTGGAAAGCAATCCCGTTATATACTAAAAACACACAGACTTTTACCTGCTGCCTTCATCACGACTGCTGGGGACCCGCCCAGTAGAACGAGAGGCGTCCTGAGAGCACAGGGTAACGTGGCTGACGGTAACGGAGGACATACTGTGAAGTAGCTGGCAGAGGGGATTTTGAATGGCCCAGTACAGAAAGAGAGTAACGTCTGAGGTGGTGAATTTGCCAGTTGCTCTGACCTGATCATTGCACATTATGTACATTTTGAAGTACTACTGTGTCCCCCATCAGTATGTACCATTATTGTATGAAAATTTAAAAGGAGAAGCATCCGAAGGAAATTAAAACCGCAGTATATTAGACAATTTCAGACATCAGTATTTTTTTTTTTTTTTTGGTTTTTCTCCGGTACCGGGAACCGAACTCACGACCTTGCGCTTGCCAGGCAGGTGCTTTTGCCGCTGAGCTAAATCCCCAGCCCCCAACATCAGTATATTAAAATGTGTGTACTTCACCATTTTTTATTGGTGCCCTTTTCTCTTCCGTAGAGAAAACAACCTGGAAATACATTTTTAAAATAAAGTTTTGTTGCTTATTTATAAAAAATAAGAGGTTGTTAAAAATAAAAGGTAGTTTATAAAAAGCAAGATGAGCCCCTGCAGAGGTGAGCCTGCGAGCCCCATAGCGGGTTGGGGCTCACTGAAGAGCTTCCTCCCTGGCTGACACCACCTGGCTGACGTTATCTCCAGTTTCCTAATTCTGTGGAACTTGAGCCTAATATCAAAAGTGCTAAACAGCTGCTAGTGCTCAGAAGAAAATACCTGGACTCCAGCAAATTGTATAGAGAGCCCTTTTTTCCCACGGAATGGCCGGAAGTTCCAGGGTTAGAAAACCTGATCTACCTTGCACGCAGATAGCCTCACTGTCTTTATGCTCTACTCTTTCGAAGTAGTATAGTTCTACTGTGTAATTAAAACAGTTGCTTAAAGTGAAATTGTTTTACAGTTTTAAGGGAACGATTACGTGAACATATATTAGTATGCATGAGTACTTTAAATGTGTTAATCCTTTTTTCGTAAATTCATTCCATTATTTAAGGTATTGATAACAGAGCATGGTGATTTGGGAAATGGAAAGTTTTTGGATCCAAAAAACAGAATCAGTTTCAAATTTGATCACCTAAGAAAGGAAGCAACTGATCCAAGACCCTATGAAGCAGAAAATGCAATTGAATCGTGGAGAACTTCTGTAGAAACTGCGTTGCGAGCATACGTAAAAGAACATTACCCAAACGGGGTCTGCACTGTAAGTCAGTGACAGCTTTTCCTTTTCGTTTGTTATGTAAATGTGGCTGAATTACAGAATGTTTTATAACTTTAAGAGTCTTTACTATTTTTTTAAAAAACTAAATAGTATAATGGAAAATTGATTATATCTTCAATTAAATCCACACAGAAATTCTAAGACAAAGATAAAGGAAAAATGATATGATAAGATTCTTTAATCTCATGTTCATGACTCATCTCTATTTTAACTTTCAGAAAAACTTTCTACCCCTGCCTTTTAACTTACAGAAATCCTAGAAACAGTACAATTATTTGGAAGTGAGATTATGTCCTCAAGTATTTTATAGTCACATTTCTTGCGTTCTTTACATAATTCTGTCTTAGGTTTAAATTGTTTTGTGGGTGAAAAATGGTAGAAAGTAGGTGTGCTTTTTGTTTTTGAACGCTGATAAGATTGTATCCAGATAGGCTCTTCAGCATCCAGAGTTTGTGCTTTGTGAGACCACGTTATATCTGTAGTGATCTTTTCAAATGCATACAAGATCATGAAAATCCTATGCTTGAGTCTTCAGAGATTTCCTGTTGCACTTAGGACTGAGTCCGGACGTCTGAACATGGCTTACAAAGCAGGATAACTGTGGCCTTCTGCTTACCTCTCCAACCTAAAATGACCACAGATCAGTTTATACCTACTCTCCCATCATAGTGTTAAGTATCACCAGTAGCACCCCAGTTCTTTCTCAGAGGTTTCCTATGAGGACAGAAGTTTTTGTAGTCTTCTCAAGAATGATTATACAATGAAAGAAGGGACAAGAAAAAAAAAGAATAGAAGGAAAAAATAGAAGCAAAGCTTTTGTAAGTAAATAGGAGGACCGGCTCAAGTGAGGGGTGGAGAATGGGAAAAAAGGAGCAGCTGGATACACCCTGTACAAGTACAGACGCCCGTGATGAATGTTACCGTGTATATTTAAAGTGTTCCGATAAAATGAAAAGAAGAGAATAATTACACAAGTATAGAACAAAAATAGGAAACAGAGCAACATAGGGATGAGGGAGGGAGGGGGAGGAAGGGGAAGTGATAAGAGCGTGTGTTGCGTGCGCATGCCAACACCCATGGTGAATGTAGTCGTTGTGTACTGCAAACGTGAAAAAAAATAATTTTTTTCATTCTAAAAAATACAGCAACTTACCTAAAATAAACTTAGCAGTTCTTTCAGTACAGACTTACTAGTCAGGGTTATTCTGGAGGAGGGTCTCAGTCACCGGCGCGGGAGCAGCTAGGTAGCCCGCTCTCGTTCTCAGGGAGGAGCGAGGCCCAGAGTACACATGCTTTTAAAGTAGTGGGGGCGGGACGGGCATGTCGCAGTGCACTGGAGACAGTCTGCATGACCTCCCTCAGTTACGGGCACGTCTGCTTCCGAGCCCTGGGTAAGTTTGATGACCTCAGAAATGGCAGCCTCTAACACTGTAATGTGGCCAAAAATGGTAATCACAAACTGGGTTCAGTTTTTTCTTGAAGGGAAATAATTACGTTGGTATCTATATGTTTAAGTAAATTTCCTACTTACGATCCTTGTGTGTGGAGTGAAAGTAGGATATAGGTAGCATATGAATATTTCGTAGTACAATAAAGTGAATTTTACTCAGTAAATTTTACTTTATCAGTGGTCAGATGTACATACTTGAAAATGTGTTTTTCCGGTTACTGTCGTAGGGTAAGGACCTACTTGGTATCTGTTACGTACATCTTCCCAAGTGGTGTACGCTTCCCAGTATTTTACAGATGCTTAAAGGTGGGCGTTCGTGGCGCTAGGTTCTCATTCTTGGTCTTGCCTTGTTTTTCACCAACAAGGTGTACGGTAGAAAAACAGACGGACAGCAGACCATTATCGCATGCATAGAAAGCCATCAGTTCCAAGCGAAAAACTTCTGGTAAGTGGGGAAATATTGGCATTGTTCATATTCTTTATGGTTCTTTGATTTGTGATTAGGGCTGAATCTTGTGTATGGTTGAATGACATAAATGTGATATAAAACGTCAGCCTCTTAGAAGAAGAAGCTGTCCGTTCCATAATTATCTAATCACTGGTGGTAGCAATAAATCTGATGACACTGAGTGGAAAGCACATAGGAGAGCACCCAGTATTTGCGGAGTAGCAGGCCAGCAGTCAGCCCTTGTGCTCGCTGAGAGGGGTGCTCCTGAGTGATACGCACGTGGCGGGGGGGCAGTAATAGAAAAAACGATGCCTTTGTGACCTTGGGAGTGCCAAAGATGTCTGCATGGGAATTACTTTGTTTGATTGCCTAATACGAGAGAGTGACATTACAGTTGTGCCTTGTAATTTTGCATACAATTTATATTGTTACTCCTTCCAAAAGTGTAGCTCCCAAAGTATGGACTTGCCCTGTTAATCTTTAGTATTTGACAAGATTATTTCTGAGATATTGCCTGTTACAACATTCTGAGGTTCTCCGAGACTGTACAGATTCAGAATTGAATGAAATATTTACTTTTTTCTCCTCCTTTAATATGTGATTAGATCATCAGACTCTATTAGCCTTTGACTCATTAGGCAAGCAGGTGGTGGAACTGTTCAGGGTCAGTTAACAGGAATCAATATCCCAGGTGAACTAGTTTGGACTGTTGCTTAGGTTTACTCCCCTGCTTCGACGCCTCAGAAATAGATGTAGAGCTACAAGATTAATCGGGAATATTTGGAGGAGTGCATATCCAGCATCATGAATGGATAATCATTCCCATTTGTAAACATGTTTTAATAGTAAGCTACCGTATCCTAAACATTTTGGTATAATAATGTTACTTTTACTTTTTATGGGCTTAATACAAATGTAGTTTCTGTATTTTAACTCTAAAAATGTGTACCATTAACCGACCAAAATCCCAACGCAGGGAATCTTTGTATGATCAATAGTGGTATATATGAATACTGTCAAATAATTATTAATATATATGTTTAAAACTCACTACTGGCTTACCTAAATAAGAGAAATAACTTCTTTTAGAATTAAGAACCAAAAATGAATAGATCTAGATTCTTTTCCCAGCCAGGCATCTCTGAATACTCTTGGATGAGTCACTCAAAGTCAAAACATGTTACAGAGTTCTTTTTTATTTTGTAGCACAAGTGCATTGTTGTAATAGTTTTCAGTGGTTAGGTGTTAACTCTTGGAATGAGAGTATTATCACTCCACAGACTTTATGATTGGATAGAGTACAAAAAAAGGAAAGTAACTCACACAGTTTTATAGCAAAAGCCAGTGCGGTGCTCCGCGAACTCTGTCATGATTGGGGAAACGTACAGTGTTCAGAAAAGCTAAGGTATTAATGTGCATACCAAAATATTATTAATATGCAAAGAGCAAATGGGCAAAAAAGAAATGGAGTTGCTCTGAAAAGACTGTCAGAAAAATAGGGCAGAATTCACTAGTAGACAAAACTGAATAGTTTATGTATTGTTCATAACCTCTCAGTTTCCTGCCAAAGATCCATATCATATCATTTCAAGAAGAGATGCCCTTTATGCAGCAAATTAACCTTAAAATTAGAAAAGTGATATTTAAAGCCGTACCCTTTCCAGATACTAAAACCTACTCACGGGTATTACATAACATTTCCTAGCTATTTAAAAAAATTATTCGGCACTGTCATTCAGTACATACTAAATTGCTCTGATTGTATTTATGAAAGGACTTGATAGTCTACACATTTGTTCAGGTTAATCTTAAAGCAGAAGTGATTCAGTTGAAGAAGTAGCTTAATATTTTTGTCCAAGAAATACCTTAGTTTTGAATTGTATTTTAAGCTTTAATTGTAGAATTTTGAATTTATATCCATTATCTAGGTCTTTCTTATGAGTAAGGTGAAGATTAAATATGAGATGATTAAAAAATACAGTAATGTTTAAATTTTTAAAAATTACTACAATGAAAGGCACATTGCCATCAATACCCTTAACGGTAGTCGCCCCTCACCTTGAATATACTTACTATGTTGTTCTTTCCACTTTTTGAAATAGTTCTGGAAATCCTCTTTCTTATCTTTACCACTGATAAATTCACTGCATTTATCAAAAATGCAGTGAATATGGCTCCTTAGTACCATCTAATGCAGAAGCAGACTCATAAAAACATTAACAGTGTGTCCTCGTCTGTCTTATTCACCGAATCTGACCCTGTATAACTGGCTCTCTACCCAAGTCAAATTGACGACGAAAGGCACACATGGAATCAGTTCATAACCTTAAGGCAGCCGTGGCAGTATAACTAAAGACATTCATGAGTGAAGACTTCCAGAACTGCTTCAGGAAGTGGCAAAAATGAATGGGATTGTATGTTCAAAGCAAGGGAAAGTATTTGAAGGGAATTAAGTGTGTCTTTTACTGTAACAAATGTTTTCAATGTAAACACACTGTATTTTTCAATCATACCTTGTGTGTCTTATACCTGTTCTTAACTTCTTGACCTTCTTGAATATGTCAGTAGTTGAAAAATAAATGTCCAGCATCTGGTTCCTACTCTTTGCCACACTGTAGCATTACCTTTAAATCTGAAGCTTAATATTGATTCAAATTATTTTCCCTACCTTATTTACAGCTGCTGTTTTTATTTTTAAGGAATGGTCGTTGGAGGTCAGAGTGGAAGTTTACAATCACACCTTCAACCACTCAGGTGGTTGGCATCTTGAAAATTCAGGTACACAATTTTAAGAGTTTTGTTTACTGATTTCCAGATGATTTTGATCAAAGGAACAACAAGCCTAATAAATTTATGTTTTCACAGTACACCATACCATGTCTTTTCCAGATTTTAGATGATGGGAAAAAGTAGTAGTACTCTTTTAAATCTTTTAAATAACCTTCTAGTTTGTTCCCTAGTCCTCAAAAACCTGCGAGGATAGCTGACAGAATCTAAAATGCAACTAAAATTAAATGCTGCCACTTGGTGTGTACCTCATACAATTTGTTCACCCGAACATCTTCTGAGTTTGAGGTGTGCTCTTCTGTCCTTTCACCTGAGTGGAGTATAATGTGTGTGTGGAAGTATAAACACACATGTCTGTATTACTGTAGATAATCATGTATAGCGTATGTTTTAAAAATACCTCCTGTACTATTTGGCTTCTTAGATGAAACCCATTAGAATTGAATCCTTTGACTCTTAATGTAAGCTCCGATGTTTATGTAGAGAGAACATTTGATATCTAAGTACTTAGTTGAATATATATACATATTGCTAAATAAGTTGAAGGTACTAATATTTTTGTATTTTGGCTCACTTTTTCAGTATGTGTTCATCAACCGTCATGAAAGATACTGTGCTAGGAGTTGTAAAAGAATAAATACTAATCTCATACTGCAGCTCTGTCATCTGACTTCTGTATATATTCCTAGTCTTGTTCCACATTGGTTTATGTCTTGGTCCCTGCCCTTTAGAAACCAGAGAATAGAAATTAAGAGCATGGCATCTGAAGTCAGACTGTCAAGAGTTTGAATCCCAGCTCAGCTGGTTACTATTTGTGTGACATCGAAGTCATTTAAGTTTGTATGTTTTGACTTCCATTAAAAAGTGAAGTCTGGAGGGAGGGGTAGCATTTGCCTGTAATTCCAGCTCTTTGGAGACTGGCGCAGGAGAATTTACCATGAATTTGAGGCCAGCCTGAACTACATAGCTAGACCCTGTGTTCTGACCCTTGTGTGATTGTTTGAGGATTAGTTAGCAATATTAGTATTAATAAATAACTAATAATTAGTTAATAAAAGAGTGAAATGGTTAGATCGTTTAGTAATACACTGCTACCTACCAGATAATGCAGGCATGTTTGTGTGGAATTCAGGGACTGAACTTGACTGGTTTGTTACCTGTGTATTTCTCCAGCTGTTTCTCCCTTTCCCCACACCTTTATATGCAGTGCAACCACAAATACCTTTAGTTCTTTCTGATACATGCTCAAGTTCATTTAAAACCCTCTGAGGCTAAAGCGTCGCTAGTGTATTTTGCACAACCCCTGTTAGAATATGGGGTTAGGGACTGTCATTTTAAAAGCCATGTATTTCCACAATCTTATGTGGGGGCAATATTTATACTGCTAATGATTGTTGAATAAATTCGTGTCCAGGGCCAATTAAAGGTTTGGTGGAAGTGCACATAAGAAAAGCAGCATTGGGGAGGGACTTACTGTGACCTTAATTTTGTACATGTTGGGTTTTCGTACTACTAAAATGCCTGTGATGTAAAAATGTGTGCAGTGAGGCCAGTGGGGATCATGCACTTTCCTCAGTAACTGCACCAGTGTCCGGTCTGCTCACCAGACCGAGGGTGGAGAGCCTTGCTGGGACTCTAACGGACTGCAGCTCAGTAGAGAAGACTGGGCTGGAGCTGAGTGAGCGGCACCGGTGTGACTGCTGAATGTGCTTTCTGTTGTGTTCCCACTAGGTTCATTACTATGAAGACGGTAATGTTCAGCTAGTGAGTCATAAAGACATACAGGACTCCCTAACAGTGTCTGTGAGTAATTTGACAGTAAAATAAAACAACGCAGTACCTCTAAAACCACAGCAGTTCTGCAGTTTATATGTTACATGTTTCTGCTTCAGATTAAAGTGTTTTCAGATTGATTAAAGATGCAGTTCTATACCTAATTTTGTTTTTAGCATTATTGAGTTATTCACATCCCATTCAAATCATTCTTTTACGGTGTAAAATTCATTGTTTTTAGATTAACAGAGTTGTACAGTAATCCCTGCAGTCTAAATTTAGAACTTTTCCCTGTTTCTTTAAAGAAATCCGTACCTATTAGCAGTCACACATCCTCCTCCTCAGCTCTTCTCTCGGACCTCTGCCTACCCTGGGCAGCCACTTAGCTGCTTTGTGACTACGCATTTGCCTCCCCTGGACATTTCATGTAAATATGATCATAGACTGCATGGACTTTGGGCCTGGCCTTGTTTCACACGGCATTTTTCATGGGGTCTGTATTGATACGCTCTTTGTCATTGTCAAATATTTCATTGTACAAACATACATATTCAGTTATGAGGTGGACATTTCTTTCGGTTTCTACTCTTCGCTGCTATAAGCATTTACGTATTATTTTTTTTGTAAAAATAATTTTTCTTTTGAGACACATGTATAGAAGTAGACTCTTAGGAACTCCCAGGCATTTCTAGGATGTCTGCACCATTTTATGATTCCAATTTGAAGATGTACATGAGGGTTCCAGTTTTTCCACTTCCTCAAACTCGGCGTTGTTTTCTTGGTTTGTTTTTATTACAACCTTTTTAGTGAATGTAGAGTGGGGCTGTTTTCCTGGTGGAGAATGATGTTGAGCATCTTTCCATGTGCTCATTTGCTTGTATATCTTTCAGGGAATGTCTGTTCAGTTCCTTTGCCCATTTGTAATTGTTTATTTGTGAGTTATAATTGTCTTATTGTTACTGACTTGTAATTGTTGTTCATATATTCTGGATACAGTTCTGAGGTCAGATGCATGATTTGCAGATACTGCTGTCACTTCATGTTGTCTCTTGCTTCGTTGTATTATTTGTAGAACAAAACTAGTTTTGATGTGGGCTCGTGTATTTTTTCTTCTACTATTTGTACTTTTAGTGTATTAATAGAACCACTGCCTGACCCAAGATCACACAGATTTACTTCAGTGGTTTCCACTCCAAGTTGTTGCAGTTTTAACTTACATTTAGGCCTATGATTCTACACCTAACTTCTAGGCTGTCTTTTGTTTTCTTTCCTCTAGCTGTTTAGATTGTGATTTACAATTAAAGAGTTTTTGAATGTAAGAAAAATTATTTTAATTACAAAAAGTATTTAACAAGTATGTTAGACCAAATGCTGCACAAGAAGAGAAAGAAGCGTGTTTTTAAAAGTTTTTGTTAGCACTTCCACTTTTGTGCCAACTTTTACACTCCTTGCAGAATTTGCCCACGAAAGAAACTTAATGAATCTGGATTTTTATGAGACACTGTATTCCATATAGCTAGGTATCATATGTAATTATCATATAATATTATTCGCATAACAAAGGTGCTTTGGGGAGTTCCACATTAAAGAAAGGTTGAAACGTATCCAGAAATTATAAACTGTAGAGTTATAAACTGTGGCCATAAGTAGTTAAACTACACTAATACACTGGTTAGGTCTGTTTACTTTATTGTATGGGAGTTTGACTATGTCATTGTTTTCGGGAAGACAAAACCTCCATTACATGAATGAATACAAACACACATGTAAGTATTAGAGATTTTCACTTTTAACACAGTTTTGTTTTTTTTTTTTTTTTTGGTTTTTCTCCGGTACCGGCAACCGAACTCAGAACCTTGCGCTTGCCAGGCAGGCGCTTTGCCGCTGAGCTAAATCCCCAGCCCCCTTAACACAGTTTACTAAAAAGAAATACAGATTTCCATTGACTGTTAGGAAAAATGAAATAAAACCATATATCAGCATATTAAAATCTTTCTCTGAAATATTTAAATAATAGAATAAATTCACCTTAAATGTGAAAATAGATTCTTCCTATCAACAGTTTTTTTATATCATTATGGTAAACATTACTCAGTAAATATTTGACAGTAAGTGAAGATAGTCATTTAATAGAAATCTGTGTATAACTTCCTATCTATAAAGCTTGTCTTTTGGAATGATTGTTAAGTATTATAATTCAACTTTCTAATCAATGTATATTACTAAGGTTTAACTTAAATACTGAGATCACACTCATGCTGTGGAATTTTACAGTATTTGTGTCTGGTTCTCTTTGGATTTAGAATAATCTTACAGTTTTCCATATACTTGTCATAATATTCATCTGTTATTAAATTACAACATTTCATTATGTGTTTTAAAGTAATAGTAGCTTAGTTTTAAATTACTGTTTAATTTACTTTTTGTTCTTTTAGAATGAAGTACAAACAGCAAAAGAATTTATAAAGATTGTAGAAGCTGCAGAAAATGAATACCAGGTATGATTTTTCAAACATTTTTTATAATCTGTGTTCATTTTTGAGTGGCACTGAAATTTTACTTTCAGCCATAATCCTGAATTTTTTCATTGTTTTGCTAGAAAAGAAATGATCTTTTGGTTGTGTGTTTGCTATTAGTACAAGAGCAAATTTGTGAAAGTGTAGTCCAAAAAAGTGGCAAATAAACAATTTAGTTTTAAAAATACCAAGTCTTAGCTTTAGTCAACTGAAATTTCTAATTATTGGTCAAAATATGCCATACTCTTCAATAGCTGTTTTGTTTCTCATTGGAAATTTTAATTTAAGGGATGTTTCCAGAACCATTTGGATTGTATATAATCTACGTAGGTCACATGCATAGGTTTGTGCTGTGCTCTTTACATCATCAGTTTCCAAACTAACATTTTATTTTTTTTTATTTTTTTGGTTTTTCTCCGGTACCGGGAACCGAACTCACGACCTTGCGCTTGCCAGGCAGGCGCTTTTGCCGCTGAGCTAAATCCCCAGCCCTCCAAACTAACATTTTAATTTAAGCATTTAATTTGTGGATTGGATAAGTCTCCACCTCTTACATACAGTAACTTACAGTTCTGACTAAAATAGTAAAATAGATTCAAAATGAGGATGTAGACATTAAACCTAATTTACATTTCATTTAGTCATTCAAAACAGTTGCAGCTTTTAAAAGCATGTCGAGTTTTGACTACTTTAAAAGCATTGAAATCAGCTCCTTGTATGTTCTTCTAAAAGTGTTGAAAATTGTTTTGTTCCTTTCATTTGTTTTAAATTTGTAACTGCTGTTTTTTATAGACCGCCATCAGTGAGAATTATCAGACAATGTCGGACACTACTTTCAAAGCCTTACGTCGACAGTTGCCAGTTACGCGTACTAAGATTGATTGGAACAAGATCCTTAGCTACAAGATTGGCAAAGAAATGCAGAATGCATAAGATGAACATTGCATGTCTGGATCATTTTAGTAATCTTTGCATTTAAAAAAATTATTGCAAAAGTGTTCAGAACTGTCAAGCTGCCCAGTCAGACGGGCTATTGCCATGTAAAATCAGTGTAATTAATTAGTTTGGTTAGAGCACAAAGCTTAGCTAATCAACCATTCTTTACTTTGTTTGAAGAGGATTGAAAAAATGAGTACTTTAAATGTCTTTTACTTTGTTATTCCTTTCTTTGTTACAATGAAGAACTGATTCCTCTAGTTTATGGTTAAAATTTTTGAAGTATTACAAAAACATTTTACTTAGTAGAACCCTAAAATTGTTGTCTTTTGGCTTATGAAATGGGAAACTTTTGATATTAGCCCAATTCTTTTTAAAGGGGTCAATAATAGACATTCTAGTTTAAGGTGGTTGATGGACTTAGCCATTATATGCTGCTAAAGAAATTGTCTACCTTTTCTCCCTCACCTCTTCACTTATGTAAGATTGAGATTAGAAAGAAACATTTTCTATACCAGTTATGTTTAAACCTTTCAGTAAGGTTATTTAGCTAGCTTGGTGTTGAACTAAATTTTTTTTTAAACAAGGCCAAGGTCTGTTGCTGTTTTGAGATTCTGAAATTAAATGAAAATACTTATAAATGCATTTAATGCTTTTTTCTTGTGACAGTTACGCAAATTAGCTTGAATTCCATATGTTCCTGAGTTATTTTTATCATAAAGCCACAAATATAGTATAACAAGGCAAATTGTAATATATGTAATCCTGAACTCATGACCATGTCTCAGTTTATTTTTTTTCCTTGGATTGAAATGTACTGAAAATCATTGTGACATTAAAATGCAAACTTTCCTATTTACTTGAGTAGAAAAATCACTTAACAGTGAGTCATATACTATTTTAAAATACTTTGGATATTGTAATTCTTAACTGGTTGTAAGTTAGGAAAGCTGGGAGTACCTATGGTGTGTAGCAGTCTTGAGTCTTTTCCATCTTCCTATGCATCATGAGCATGTCTGTAATATTTTTAAAAATACACTGATACTACAGGAGTTTCAAACCTGTGGTGAATACTAGTATTTACTATCAGGAGGTGGGTGGATTTATGGTTTCATTCAACAGAATTTTGTTTCTTATCCTTGAGTGAAATCCATTCATCACATACTCCAGACATCTGGCCCTGGAAATTTTTTTAAAACACTTTTATTATGAACAATAAAATATTTCATTAGCTTGAATTGTATAAATTTTTAAAAATTCAATGAAAGCATGTTTAATTTCTTTTTAAAAATCACTGTTGGACTTTAAAACCATTGAGAATATAATCTGAAATTATGACACCTTTGGCTAAATCATTTTCTCTTTAGTTTTACAAGTTGTGTGTATTGAGATTCCTAAGGAAAATGAATTGATACATGAATTATCTGTTCACTTTTTAAGAGACTTATTTAAAAGTTTGATGATTCTGAGCTAAATATTGGATGTCTGCATTAGTTGTGTCATGGGTTTATATTCCGTTGCAAAAAGGGGAATTCCTTGGCTTGGTTTTATAACTTAGAATACTTGCTTGAAGATGTATGCAAATGTTTTTAAAATTTGCATGTTACTTGTCAAAATGTAGAACTCAGGCCAACATGACTGTACAATAGACTAGTCTTTAGTCTTTTTTCAGTGTATGAGTAACATTTTATTAAAGAAAAAGATGAGACCCCGAAGTATCTGGAAGCTCAGGGACAGTCTTTTAATAGGAGACTGAACGGCTCTTGTGAATAGGCTGAACTGTCAAGGCCGGGGCAGGGGCAGAATCGGGAAGGAATGAGGAGAGACTGTTGCAGTGACCCGGCCGAAAGAGAACGATGGCCTGGGTGAAGCGGTACCTACAAAGGTGGTAAAGCAGTAGGTAACAGTCAGCAAGATTGCAGATCATGGTATGAAGAGAACTGCCAAGGAATGTGGAACCTGAGATACGGGCTTGAGCTGGGGAAGACCCTACAGCGAGCATGTAAGTGGTTGGGAGCAGGGATCTTGTCAGGAGGTCAGCTGTAGATTTCAAAGTGAAATACTATAGCAGTTAGACACGAGATAGAATGCACTACGTTGGAATGGGAAAGAGAATGATCCTGGGAAAGTTGGATAGCCAGGAAAAGGGAAGATTCCTTCAGGTTAGTGATAATTTAGAGTGACACCATATATAGAGAGGACATGAGAGAAAGGGAGGGAGAGAGTTGAAAATGTGGGCCAGTCAATGGACTGTAAGTATGTTCAGTTGAGGACCTAAAAGGAATGAACTGGAAATGCAGGAAGCAGTGGTTAAAGTGTACAGTGTGCTTAAAGTCAAGATTTCTGGGAGAGTTCTTAGTAACACCAATTATGGCAAAGAAAGTGACTAGCTGAGGGAGAGTAGGTGGGCACAAGCAACATGAAGCCTAGGATTGGCAAGATCATCTCTTGGTAGCCAAACCAAGAATTCTTGAGCCAGGCATAGTGGCACATGCCTGTGATCCCACCATTCTGGGAGGCTGAGGCAGGAGGATCACAAGTTTAAGCCCAGCATGGGAAATTTAATGACTTAATATGACCCTGTCTCAATATAAAAACAAAAAAAGGTCTGGGGATGTAGCTCAGCATGCAGGACTGGGTTCAGTCTCTGTTACTGCCCCACAAAATCTGATTCAAGTGTTTTAACATGAGAGCTTTTTCCCCCAGACTCTGGATACAGACTGTAAACAGACTTGACAATAGTGTTGCATCTCCAGTAAATCCATCGTAAAATGCAAATACTAACAGTCGAAGTGCACATGATACACATAAACGGCCAAACATCACAGCCCAGCCACCGCAAACCTACTCGGCACTTAACTGGTTACACCTGGGCGAAGTCATCTAACAAGCCTATTTTATAGTACAGTTTTGAAGATCATGTCATTTATACTGAAAGTGAAAAACAATGTTATATAGGTACATTTTTACACTTTCGAAAAGTTGTAAATTGGGGAAAGTTTGTACGTGGATATTCTGGTTATATTTTTATGAATTAGATAAATATGCATACAGATGTTTGTGGGGCTTTTCCGCATTTGAGGTTTTAGAAACTAAAACAGGAAGAAGAGCTTTAAAAGAAAGTTGTCCTGGAAGTTCTGGTTTATTACAAAATGTTCCCCAAAAGGGACAGTCTCAGGAAAGCTAATTAAAAACAGCTACTGATAATTATGTATCACTAGAGTTTGACTCTTAATAACTATGTTGAAGGCTTTCAAAAAATAAACAGTCCTCTCAAAAGATCTTTCATACCAGATCGTGAGCTTGTATCTTTGCCAACTAATGTGTTTAAATCTAGAAAGCCACATTTTGTGAAGAATTAGTGCAGTTATTTTGTAATGCACACACACTTCAAAACATCCCAACAAGGATGTGTGTTTGTTCTCTTATCTAAGGAGATGTACTTACAGGGGCAGCAATGATGTACTTGCCAGTCTTAAAGTGTAGATTTGGAGGATTGAAAGTTTTTAAAAACTGGGTTCTGAATAGGTGTCTCCAGATTTGACGTTCTTATTATTATGCTTGAGCTTCATTGTAGGATTGGCCAGGAGTGATAGCAATTGGCGAAGATACAAAATATTTATTTACCAGTTAAAATAGCCCACGTAACTTTTAATGTCTAATTGGTAGTGAAAGTGAATGTCAGGTCATTCAAGATGAATGAAACTGTATCCAGAGGACGGTTAATGGATGATGGCGCTGGGAAAACACGGAACTGCCTCCTACAGGCGTCTGCAGACTGCTAGGGGCTCCGGCGGTGTTTTGCATCCTCTTCGCCATCACAGCGTGCGCACACATCGACGAAGTGCTGGTGTTTGTACGCACCAGGAAATGTAAAGCTGCTCTGTTGAGTGCTAGGTGAGGGACACACCTTAAACCCAGTTAGGAGGATGTGTCATGGATAGCACACTAAAATGTGTGTTTCTAATTAGGATTCAAGGTTCTTTACAAGGTAGATGTCAAGCTTTATTGTACCTAAGGGAGCTTTAAGAGGCTATGAAAGCAAGGAAGGTTTCCTGGAAAGGATGGGTTTTTAACTGTATTTTTCGGTAGGCAAGAAATCTTTCTGTATCCCACCGAAGCATCAAAGTACAGGTAACATTTCTGGTATAGAAATGTCATGAGTCAGATCCGGTTCAAAGCTAAATGAGTTTTTAACATAGTGTACAATGAAAGCATTAATGTGAAGAGGAAAGGTATAAGTGTTCCTATAAATAGTATAGCCGGTGAGATACTGAAGTATTTTTAGTCCTACTTTTGGTATTGCCTAACAAAAATATGCTGATTAGTATGTTTTCCCTCTTTCAGTGTGACTGAATAAGATTTTTTTCCTATATAAACAGACTGGGAAGTACCCACTTTACAGATACCAAAGCAGCCATTTATTGTAGTAGCGTAAATCTTCCCTCATGTGTGAGACTACATGGAATTAAAGCACTCTGATTAATATAAGACAGTTACAGAAACAGAATCTGTTACCTTAGACTTACAGGTTATTAGAAGAATTTGTAAAATACCCAGTTTTTGAGCCAAGTAAAATTTGTAGAGTTCTCTTACTACAAGAATATCCCTGACACTCATGCTAACAGTGAAAATTATTAGCTTCCTCTTTGGCTTCAAGTTTTGTGCCGCTAACTTGTTAATCTAGTGGAACCTGAACACTGATTCCACACACAGATCTCTGCTATCCTAGACTTTTACCTGAAAAATGAATCATCAGGAGCCATAGCTTTCTTACGTACAACTTAAGCACTTGGGGAAGACTAACTTTTCTCGTACAAGATACAGGAGACTGGTGTTTCCAACCATGTTCCATGACACTGAAAGTATCCCAGATGCAGGGGAAAAAGAAGAGGACCCCCCCACCCGGTGTATACTCATGTTTTCCTCATTGTGTAGTTTTATGATGAAAAACAAAAGGAAATAAAACTTAACAGAAAGTAAAATTCCAACATAGAGACTTGTAATGGCAAAAACCTTAAACCCCTCTAACACCCAGCAGTAAAGAACAGGTTTAGTTACGTTGTGAACACACTTAGAGCCCTAAAACAGAGCTTCCTGTAGCAATTCATTGTCAGGGAAGTTACGGAAGGTAAGTACGCTCTCATTTTACACGCATAATCCATCTGTAAAACCGCATATACCATTTTATGTATTGCAAATGTGTAAAACATGGACAAAAAATATCAGGGTACGTAAGGAGAAGCATAAAGGAATGAAACTAGGGAACAGCATATGGGAATTGTATCTAAGCTTGCTTAAATTTGGTGATAGGTATACAGGTGTCCATTACATTTTCAGTTTTTATATCCGATACTTTTTTCTTTTAAAAATTGCGTGACATGTTAACGTTTAGAAGTATGTGAAAGAAAACATGTATCCTTCTGATCCAGGCAAGCTGGAAAAATGGAAAAGGTCCTATCCACAGAAAAACTAAAAGTTAACTTGTTCCTCTTAGAAGGTCATGAGACTGGCTTTTAGTAAATTTTATCCAGTTCTCCATATATAATTTTTGGTGTTACAAGAATTATTCTAGATGAAAAGCTATGGAAATATGGAAAGCTCTGTTGTGAGAGCAGCCTAAAGCTTAAACACCAAAAAACACAAAAAAACAGAAAACTGATGGAACTTCCCTACACAGTTAAAAGCAGAACTAACTGTATTAATAGCCAAGGGACACTGGATTGTAACCAAGTATGGTTTATGGCTGAGATGCAGTGAGTATTCCTTATTAGGAAACCTAGCAATGTAGCTTACTATCTTAGCACGTTAAAGAAGAAACAATCTTTTCAGTAGATACCACAGAAGCATTTGATAAAAGTTACTGCCATGTTTGGGTTTCAAAGGCACCATGGGGGGTCAGTGGGGTAAAGATAAAATTACTCTAAAAATGGTGTTGAGTCGATAGGGTAGTTAGCCTGTGGGGTGCAAGGGGTTAATGGTATAATATGGTAAGTTCATAAGTGTGCGAGTACATATTTTTAATTTCAGAATCTTAGACAAAAATTACCTAATAATTCATAAAAGTGAAGATTTACTACGTGGCTTAAAATGCTCTTTGCAAGGTCAAATGATAAAGCAAGGGGAAAAGTACTTGGCGGTTTTTTGAACAGATTGCTGATTTACCTAATGCCCAGTGAGTTTCTGAATACCACGGAAAACGGAAACCCAGATCCTTGACACCTGAGTCCCTGATGCTATGGACAGCCTCACCAGTCTTAGACTGATTGGAACTTTACTGAGAAATAAACTTACCTTGTTTCAGCCACTGCTGGTTTGGATTAATTTTTTGTTGTTGGCTTTTTTTTTTTCTTGTCTTTTCTTTAATCCCTTCTGCCTCTCAGCCTACACAAAATTCGGTACCAGAAAGGCAGTGTTCATCCA